TGTATGGACTTACAGCAGAGGATTGGAAATTAGATATATAAGTAGGATGAATTTATAACAGGGGGTAAAAAGAAGGAATAGGGAAAATCTAAAGCAGGAATAGGGTTAAAGAAACAGGACAATAGGGGAAAAGATAGGAAGAGACTGATAGCATAAAGGTAAAGTTGAGATAGAGTAAAATGATGGTAAAGGAAAGATGACAATAGAATGTAGGACACTAATCCCAAATAAAACAAAGAGAAAATAAAATGTTACTAAAAAAGGGGTAAAATAGTAGTAGTAATAATACTGGTTAAAAATAAAAATGTAATAATTAAAAAGGTAAAATCAAGTGAGGGAAAAAGAAAACAGTTTCTTAGTAAAAGATAAAAATAAATAAAAATGTGCGATAGTGAAGGTCATTCACTTCCTCTATTGTTCTGTTTGGCATGCCTGTTTCCTAGTCAGGACAGTATTAAAGTTTCCTGTATTCCACTGCTCCTCAGTGTTTTAAGCCACAGTCCTGATTTTCAAGCAGGCAGTACTTCTTTGTTTCTTATACTCCTTTGTGTTTACACAAAAGTCAATTTGTGATTCAACCCCTGGGTGACAGTGTTTTTCGATTGACCTTTAGGTCTATAAGTCCTCTCTATTTAGTGCTTAGATTTTGTTTTCCCTGTCACACTTAATACTGATTTTGGGGAATGGGCTGCCCCAGAGCTGGTTCTCTGATCATTATTCCCCACTCTGATCCCCAGGTTCCAGAAAAACAACTTTCCCCTGCAGTCTCTTAAAGTGTCCCCAATGTCCTGGGTTTAGTAATCAAAAGCAAGGATTTAAAGAGGAAAAAAAAAGAAAATGAACCAGAATAAGTGTGCGAACTTACAACTTTTATCCTCTGGAGCTGCATGCAAGTCTGTGTAATCTTTTTTTCCCCCCTGGCTCTAAGCAGTTGGCACACTGTTAAAATTTTTAAGCTGCACTTTTGAGCCCAGTTCAGCTATGGGTTGTTTAGAGTTCCCTTCTGTTAGCCGTCCTGTGGATCCCCTTCCACATTTGCAGATCATGCCAGCCCCAATGGCCACGGATTTTTTTGGGCACAGACTTCCACAGATCCTCTAGTTCCCATTGTGTGCTTTTTCTCTCTCCTGCCTGTATCACAGACCTGACGTTTTCTAAGGTGAAATCTGACCTTTCCATGAGAAGGTGCAGAGCTCCTCCACATCTGTGTATTCAAGCTGTTTGGGGTCCAGTGTTCCTGGGTTTGCAGCTGTTCCCTGGGTGTTGTTATTGTAGATTCCTGGGATTTTTAGACAACTGAAAACAGTCACTCTTCCCTTCAAGATGGCACAGTCTCTGTGTTAGAGCCGGTTGTTCCAGGAAGGATTTCAGCAGCAGGGGAGGCTTCCTGGTTAGGGGAACCCTGTCTGGCAATCCCCAACAGTCCCTTGGAGTATAGCTGTCCCTCAACTCACAAATAAACACTCCCAGTGCAACCACATAGTCTCCTTTCATTCTCTCACTCATGCACTATATTGCAGTCTGCCTTCCTATCCATAGCCATCTTCCCCTTCTTCTATTACCATAATTTTACTGCCCATGTTTATTTATATTTATCAATATTTCATGAAATTCTTATTTTTTGCATGTATCCATTTTTATTAAAATATACTTTTTAATTTAAGGATAGCTGGGATACAATCTTACATTGGTTGTATTAATTTCAGGTGTACAGCATAGTGACTTGACATTTTTATACCTTACAGTGTGATCAACCAAACAATCTTTGCTCACCATTTCTTCTTGAATTCTGCTACTTCATTTTTTGTTTCATTTTATTCCTTTTAGAATTCTTTTTTTAAGTTACTAATTCATTGAGACTCTATGAGTAAAATCTCAGTCTTAGAATATCTAAAAATATATTTATTTTACCCTCATTTTTACAGTTTTAGTTAAATATAGAATTCTAGGTTGGAAAATACTTCCTTTTAAAAAATGAAGTCATTATTCTATTGTCTAAGGCATCTATTATTGCTGATAAGAAATCTTCCAATCTAATTATATTTCATTTGAAAAAAAATATCTAGTTTTTTTCTGATAGTTTCTGAGATATTTAATATCTTTGATTCTTTGCACTTTACCATGATATGTTTGGGTATAGATTTATTTAATATTTCTGCTCAGGATTCACTGTGACCTTCAATCTAATGATTCATATGTATCTTTAATTTTGAAAAAGTACCTCTCCAAATATTGCTTCTTCCTGATTATCCATATTCTGTCCTCCTGGAAATTTTATTTGATATAAATTGGACCTTCTCACCCTATGCACTAGGTCTCTCAACTTCTCTCTTACCTTCCCAATCTCTTGTATGATTTCCTCTGTATCTATCTTCCAAATGTATCAATTATCTTTTCATCTGCATTTAGTTACTCTTCAACCCATCCTATATAATAAAAGCCTAATATGCTAAGTCTTCAGGCGGCTGTTCAACCAATCAAAGCATGATATGCTAATTATATGCTAAGTCCACTCAACTGCTTGCTATGATGTGCACTGCCCATCAGGGGCAAGAAAGTGACCAGTTGAGTAATTGCTGTGACGTGCACTGACCATCAGGGGACAGACGCTCCAACTAGTAGGTTATCTTGCTGCTGGAGTCCAGCCAATTGGGACTGAGTGATATGGGCCAGACATGCCCTGGAGTCCTCTTGCAGTCCCTCCCTGGCTGGCTAACCTCCCACATACTTCCCTGGCTCTGATGGTGCACTGGTGGGGTTCCTCAGACTGGCCTGCACTCTTTTTTTTAATATAGTCTATTGACTTTTCACAGAGGGGAAGAGAGATGGATAGAGAGTTAGAAACATCGATGAGAGAGAATCATTGACCAGCTGCCTCTTGCACACCTCTATTGGGGATGTGCCTGCAACCAAGGTACATGCCCTTGACTGGAATCGAACCCAGGACCTTTCAGTCCGCAGGCCGACGCTCTATCCACTGAGCCAAACCGGTGCTGGCATGGCCTACATTCTCTTGCAATCTGGGACTGCTTAGAGGATATTAGAGAGCCAGGTTCAGCCCAATCCCCCAAGCTAGGCCGAGGGACCCCACTGGTGCATGAATTCGTACACCAGAACTCTAGTTATATATATAGTTGTCTTGGGATTCCAATATGCCAGTTCTTTTTCATATTTATCTATTCCTGATTTATGATTTATATTTATTTAAAGTCCCTTTCTGATTAATCTAGTATTTCTAGTTTTTGGGGTATAAAATTTTCCACATATTACATCTAATCACATTGTCTCAAAGTATTTCATTTCCTCGGGAAGTCTGTAATTTTTTGAACTATGAATTTATTTTCTATAGATGCTTTCCAAATGAATCCCAAATGCTATCCTATATAATAAAAGCCTAATACGCTAAGTGTCCAACAGTTCGACCAGTCATTGTGACCTGTACTGACTACCAGGGGGCAGATACTTCGATTAGTATGTTAGCTTGCTGTTGGGACTGACCAATTGGGACTTGGTAAAATGGGTTGGACACACCCTGGAGTCCTCATGTGGTCCCTCCCCAACCCTGATCGTGCACCGGTAGGGTCCTTTGGCCTGGCCTGCACCCTCTCGCAACCCGGGACCCCTTGAGGGATGTCAGAGAGCCAGTTTCAGCCCAATCCGCACAGGCCAGGCTGAGGGAACCCACCGGTTCATGAATTTGGGCCTCTAGTAGGTTATAAAAAGCTTCTCTTTAAGACAGTTTCACACTCACCTTTGGGTTTCATTGATTTCGGATCAGATATTAATGTTAATTTTTTAGCACATTTTCTTCACCATTTCAGTCATCTGAACTATGACCATACTTCCATTACTACAGAGTCCTGGGATTCCAAATTTTTCCCACCCATTGTCCAGAGGATACAGGTAGCTTTTTAATACTTTCCCACATTAAAGGGCACAATTTCATTGGTCATCCACAAACTTCCAATTTTATTTTAGTTCTACTTCACATAAACTACTGGACTTTCCTTTCCATGTTGTTATTATACTTCAATCTATAATCGTTTAGGCCTTTATCTAGTTTTGAAATGCCGATTAGCAGTTTTAGTTTTAGTTCCTACTCACTACTAATTTTAAATTTCTTTGTTTATGGCACATAGGTGTTTTTCATTATTTTTTGAGGCTTGGTTACATATATATATATTCTTACGATTTCCCCTTTATTTTCTATGTTTATTGCAGGGTACATACTTAGATACATTTGTGCATTCTTTTTGTATTGTTGATATCATTACAGATGTCTCCTTCTTGTCCCCCACCTTTACTCATTTCCACCCAACTCTCATCCCTCCACCTCTAGCCATCATCACACTGTTGTATGTGTTCATTGGCTATGAATACCTTTTGTGCATTCTTAATCTGCCAGAAAGACTACAGGTCAATCCCAAAATAAGAATGATTCAAAATGCAAGAAGGACATAAAATGATAAAAAGTCTAGTCCAGAAAGATGGCCCCATATAAAATCTGACTAAAAATAAATCACTCTAAGGATATCTTTCCAGAAATAAATTACTTTACTAAATTACTTCAGAAATGAACCCAAAATTCAAAACAGTCAACCCAATATCTAAGAAAGAAACTATAACAATATTTTAAGCTTTAGCTGTATTTATGTAAAATTAAAATTTCTACTTATTCTTCTGATAATTAAAAATAGTACATTTGAAGGGATATGCTACTAAAGAAGCAAATTGATAAGTATAAGTTTGTTTATATTTACTTTTACTTTGGTGATACCACAATATTGTTCTAAATTGGGACCAGTATTTTTGACAAGGACCTATGCTAGTATAAATGAAAACCAGCAACAAAAGTAACTAGTTATAAACGTTTTTAGAATACTTATATTATGTTAGTGGCAGTCATGACACAAAAATGCAGAATTGAACAGTGATCTTTATATAATAGTGTGCCATAAATATTATATTTCATTAATACTACTAACAATAAAGCAACATACTTTGGAAGATGCATGGCATGTCTGGTATATTTTCTCTTGTTTGTGGAGAAGATTCTGGCTGAGGTATAGGAACTCTACAAAAGATGAAATGAGAATAACCAATAGTTACAAAGAGACTTAAATAAAAACATTAATTGGTGCTATTCAGAATTTTTTCTAATTCAATAAATTTAGAAAATATGTAGGTCTATTTTCTTAAAATGATGCATTAAAAATGTAAGGAAAAATACATTAAAATGTTGAACAAAGATCCATATACTGCATAACAATTCAAATACTACAATAGATTAAAATATTCTTTTAAGAATTATTCCACAAAAGAAAGTATTCAGTTTTATTAAATACCAACTAAAGATAGATATATACTTTATATGACAAATTTAAAAATTAGTTTTATGGCCTATTTTCATGTTTGCTTTGTTCAAATATTCTAGAAAACTATATGGCCTTACTCTCCTATATTTATGCTTTTCTTTCTGCTCCTTTTCCTTTGCTTGATTAACTCTTATCCTTCAAAATTTACCTCAGGAATTATCCTACATAATAAAAGCCTAATATGCTAAATATTAGCATTTGGTGACTGATCGACTGTTCAACCATTCAAAGCATAATATGCTAATGATATGCTAAGATTGCTCAACCTATTGCTATGACGTGCACTGACCACTAGGAGGCAGATGCTCTGACTAGTAGGTTAGCTTGCTGCTGGGGTCCAACTGATCAGGACTGAGAGATGGGCCGTATATGCCCTAGATCCCTCCCATGGTCCCTCCCCAGCCCTGACTGTGCACTGGTGGGGTCCCTGGGCTTTGCCCTCTCACAATCCAGGACCCCTCAGGGAATGTCCGAGAGCTGGTTTCAACAGATCCCGCAGGCCACTGCCCTTGGAAGGGAGCCAGATGCAGGGCTCACAGCTGTTGAGTGCTGCTGTGGCGATGAGAGCCTCTCTCAATCTGGACTGATTGGGCGAAAGCCTGCAGCAGGTGTAGTGGAACTGGGATGAGCAGGAGCGGCAGATAAGCTGCAGGCAGTGTTGGACTGTGGGTTTTGGCCTGATCCCCACAGGCCATCCTGAGGAACCCCACCAGTGCATGAATTTGTGCACTGGGCCTCTAGTTTTCTATAAGAAGCTATGTTTGATCTCTAGTCAAGGCTCACTGCTCCTTGTGTATGCTCTCATAGCACCATGAAAAAACTTCTATTATAGCATTTATCACACTATATTAAAATTAGTTTATAGGTCTGTCTCTTCCATCTGATTATCTTATAAGTTCTGCTAGAAGTATTACAAAAGTATAAACTTCATTTTATCTATTTCTGAATCTCCACATATTATCTGTTCACTATTTTTTGAACTGAAATGAATGGAGGAAAGGGGAAGCATTTTATTTTGCAGCTGAGGTGAAGCCTGCTTTTATAAGGAAATATTTCCACCTTATGGGATTTTAGCATATTTATCATATTTCTGTTGTATTTCCAAAACTAAAAGCATGAAAATCAGAATTGTCATGTTGTAGAATGCCACATAATCAACTAAAGATGGATATATACTTCATATGATAGGAATTTTAAAAAAATTAGTTCTATGGCTTCTTTTATAATGTCAAGTTATTAATAAACTAAAATGAAGTCGTTTTCATGAAAGAAGAATGCATCTATTTAACTATAAAACTCTAGCACATAAAAACATTTTATAGTTGTAATTTTTCAATTTTTGAAACATGGTATTTCCAGAAATTAGAAAACTGAAAATATCAATTCAGAGAGAAATGTAAATATCTAAAAATAGTTAAATTACACATACTCTGAAATCCATAAACAGCATGTATATACTTATAATACATGTGATTAAAAAGAATATATTCATCTGAAATAAATTGGAAGAAATAGTTCCCAATCTGAAACATCACAATGATAGTGTACAGAATTTTACAAAGTGGCTTAGGAGATTTCTACTGGACTATGTAGTCATTTGTTTGTATGACTTAAATGTCTCAAAGATGCTAAATGACAGAATGGAATATAAAATGTCTATGGGTATCAACTGAGGAAACTGTAGAAAGAGAGAAAAAATGAAAAGATAAGAAATATTGAAGGATAACTGAGCACAGATAAGAAAGAAAAAGAAGAGAAGATAAAGACACATATGATGGGTAGTGGCAAAATATAAAAATTATCTCAAAAGCTCTAAGTTGTACTATAATTTTGCTCTTTCACTAACATATTGATCTTAGATAAAAGCCATGTAGATTCTATTATATATCATCCCCTAATTTATTTATTTTTTAAAATATATTTTTATTGATTTTACACAGAGAGGAATTGAGAGGGACAGAGAGTTAAAAACATCGATGAGAGAGAAACATCGACCAGCTGCCTCTTGCACACCCCCCACTGGGGATGTGCCCGCAACCAAGGTACATGCCCTTGACCGAAATCGAACCTGGGACCTTTCAGTCCGCAGGCCGAAGCTCTATCCACTGAGCTAAACTGGTCCCGGCTCATCCCCTAATTTATATAACAGGATTATAATTAACCTTTACTAATAATAGAGGAATATGCAAATTGGCTGAGACGCCATTACATAATGACCAATCAGGATGGGGGTGGGGCCATGGAGGAGAGCTCTCAGCACACTTGTGCTGGGGGTCCGAAGGGCATGGAGAGAAAGGGAGAGCAGATAGGCAGTTAGGGGGATCAGGCCAGGAGGGGAGAGCAGATAGGCCAGTAGTGCAATCAGGCCAGAAGGGGAGAGCAGATATGCTATTAGGGGGATCAGGCCAGCAGCAGAGAGCAGACAGGCAGTTAGGGGGATCAAGCTGGCAGGGTGTAGCAGTTAGGCAGTAAGGGCAATCAGGCCAGGAGGAGAGAGCAGTTAGGGAGATCAGGCTGGCAGAGGCGAGCAGTTAGGGCCATCAGGCAGGCAGGTAGGTGAGCAGTTAGGAGCCAGTGATTCAGGATTGTGAGATTAATTCCAGATTGGAAAGGGTGCAGGCCGGGCTGAGGAACTGCCCCACCCCCATGCATGAATTTCATGCACCAGAACTCTAGTATTATTATAGTCTTATAAACTATCTTTCAAGCAAAAAATTAAAAGTTCTTAATATACATAAATGAATGCTTAATTACCATTTTTATCCTTTCTGAATCTCAGATTCCTCATCTACAAAATTGAGATAATTATCTTGTGCCTCCCTCACAGGGATATTGAGTATCAAATGAGGTAAGGAAATAGTCTTATCAGTAGGATAAAATAAAGAAGTTTTAATGTCCCATTTATTATATTTTATTTCTCACTGCTAACTTTTTGAATAAGTTGGTGGATTTTTACACATTTTATCTAAAAGAGAGTACCATGATTTACTACCATCCTAAATAATAAAAGGGTAATGTGCAAATTCACCCTAATGGCAGAACAACTGGGAATGACCTGTTGCTATGACATGTACTGACCACCACAGAGCAGATGCTTAATGCAGGAGCTGCCCCCTGGTGGTCAGTGACTTTTCACAGGGAGAGTGCCACTTAGTCAGAAGCCGGCTCATAGCTGGCCAGTGCAGTGGTGGTGGCAGGAGCCTCTCCCACCTCTGTGGAAGCATTAAGGATGTCCAACTAATGGCTTAGGCCCGCTCCTGGACTGCCAGAGGGTGTGGGCCGGGCTGAGGGACCCCCCTGAGTGCACAAATTTTCATTCACTGGGCCTTTAGTTTGGAATAAAATGTTGGTTGATAGAAGCTCTTAAATAGTCATATTTACTACTAGAGGCCCAGTGCACAAATTCATGCATGGGTAGAGTCCCAGTCTTAGCCGGCGATCAGGGCCAGTCAGGTTCCCCACCTCCCTGCCTCTTTGCCTCTCTCTTCCCTTGCTCCTTAGTGCCCTGCTGCCACTGCTGGTCACTGGCCATGTTCTGCACCATCCCCTGCTGGTCAGCGCATGTCATACCAAGTGATCAAACTCCTGGCCTCATGGTTGAACTCCTGAGGGGACACTTTGCATATTAGCCATATTGCAGGAAGATTCCTGCAATAGGGCTTCCTGCTGTGGTTGCTGCCCTGCCTGCTTCTCTCCCTTCTCCCCTAGCCTGCCTGCTTTCCTCTCTTCTCCCCTTCCCTGCCTGCTTCCCTTCCTTCTGCACCGCCCCGCTTGCTTGCTTTTCCGCAGCTTCATTCCCTTCTGCAGCACTTGGCTTCTTTCTACACTGTCTTCAGTCTTCACTCTGGTCTGGGCATGCAAATTAACTGCCATCTTGGTTGAGTTAATTTGCATGCTTGCCTAGATTGGCTGGTGGGTGAGGCTTCTTGTGGACATAGCAAAGGTGAGGTCAATTTGCATGTTTCTCTTTTATTAGGTAGGATTGGAGGCCAAGTGCACAAAATTCATGGACAAGGAGGGGGAGGAGTCTCTCAGCCCAGCCTGCACCCTCTCCAATCTGGGACCCTTTGAGGGATGTCTAACTACCCGTTTAGGCCCGATCCCGGTAGGATCGGGCCTAAACGGGTAGTTAGACATCCCTCTCACAACTGCTCGCCTGCCTGCCTTCCTGATTGCCTCTAACCATTCTGCCTGTCAGCCTGATCACCCCCTAACCACTCCCCAGCCACCCTGATTGCACATAACTGCCCTTCCCTGCAGGCCTGGTCACCACTAACTGCACACCTCTGCTGGCCTTGTCACCCATAACTGCCCTCCCCTGCAGGCCTGGGTCCCTCCGCCAACTTCCCTTTCCTGCAGGTCCAGTTGCCCCCAACTTCCCTCCTCTGCCAGCCTGGTCACCCCCAACTGCTCTCTCTTGCAGGCCTGGTTCCTCCCAACTGCCTTCTCCTGCTGGCCATCTTGTGGTGGCCATCTTGTGTTCACATGGGGGCAGCCATCTTGTGTGCTGGAGTGATGGTCAATTTGCATATAACTCTTATTAGACAGGATAGAGGCCTGATGCATGGGTGGGGGCCAGCTGGTTTGCCCTGAAGAGTGTCCTGGATCAGGGTGGAGGTTTCCTTGGGGCGTGGGGTAGTCTGGGTGAGGAGCTATGGTGGTTTTCAGGCTGGCCATGTGTCTCCCCCCACCCTCTGGTGACCCAAGTGGAGGCCCTGGTATCTGGGATTTATTTATCTTCTATAATTGAACCTTTGAAGCCTTGAGCGGAGGCCAGGATAGGCCAAGAACTTGGCTTCCTCCATTGTCTGGGAAACCCAAGCCTCCTGCTCACTCTGTGGCTGCAGCCATTTTTATTGGGATTTATTTATCTTCTATAATTGAAACTTTGTAGCCTGGGCCGGCCAGGGTGTGCAAGAAGCTTGGCTTCCTCCATTGCCAGGGAAAGCTAAGCCTTCTGTTTGGTCTGTGGCTGCAGCCATCTTGGTTGGGTTAATTTGCATACTTGCTCCTGATGGGCTGGTGGGCATGGCTTGTGGGTATCTCAGAGGTATGGTCAATTTGCATATTACTCTTTTATTAGGATAGATTATTGTGCCAACAGAAGCAGACTAACAGATGACCCAGAAATTGGAGTTAGCAGGCCAGGATTTATTATTATTTTTAAAAAATATGTCTATTGATTTCAGAGAGGAACGTAGAGGGAGAGAGAGGTAGAAACATCCATGATGAGAGATAACCATTGATTGGCCTACTCCTGCATGTCCCACACTGGGGATTGAGCCACAACCTGGGCTTATGCGGACTGGGAATTGAATCATGACCTCTGGCTGGGCAGCAGACCAGGATTTACAATACAATGATTAATATGTTCAAGAAACAGAGGGAAAGATGGACAAAACAGATACAGTCTCAAAAGAGAGGGGTGGGGAGAGAAAGAAACATCAATTAGTTGCTTCTTCTCTGGCCTCAACCGGGATTGGGGAGCAAACCCACAACCCAGGTATGTGATCTTGACTGGGAATTTAACCCATGACCTTTACATGCTTGGCCGATGCTCTAATGACTGAACCACACTGGTCAGGGCTCTTTTTTCATTAAAATTGCTTCTTTTCCACAATATTATTTTTTCAAAATTATATTTTAATAGTAATTCACATTGCTGCATATAGCTGCAGTTCATTCTTATTTTTGAAAATGTTTTCATTGATTTTTGTGGGAGAGAGAAAAACAGTGATGTGAAAGAAAAACATCTATCATTTATTTGCCTCCTGCACAAACACTGATTAGGAATCAAACCCACAATCTGAGCATGTGCTCTGACTGGGAATCAAACTGGTGACCTTTCAGTACATGGGATGACAACTAACTGAGCCACACTGGCCAGGGCAAGTTTACTCATTTTAATTGTATGTTTAATGCTCTCTTGTATGAATATACCACAATTAATTTATACATTTCACTGTTGATGGATAATGGATGGATTCCAATAAATAGCTGTTAAGGATCTATATATAAAATGCAAATAGACCGAACAGCGGAACAACCAACCAAACAACCAGTCGCTAAGATATGCGTTTACATTAGGGGGCATGCGCACAGAACATGGCGGGCATCAGCCTTGTTGGGGTGGTGGAGCAGGGGCGCCAGAGCAAGATAGCTGTCATCAGGGAAAGCCTCTGGTGGCTACTGAAAATTTGGAGACAGGGTCACTGAAGATATAATTAGTGAAGATAAAGTCATACTGGAGTAGTGTGGGCCCCTAATCTAATATAATAGATGTTCTTATAAAAAAGGGATATTTGAACACAGATACAGATTGGGGTGATGTTTCTACAAGCCCAGGAATGCTAAAGGTTGCCAGCAGACCACCAGATGCTAGAGGAGAGGCATGGGGCAGATTCTTCCTTAAAGCCCTCAAAAGGAACCAACCCTTCTGACACCTTGATCTTAGAGTTGTAGCTTAAAGAACTGTGGGATAATAATTTTCTGTTGTTTAAGCCATATAACTTGTGATACTTTGTCATGGCAGCCCTAGAAAAATAATACAGATTTCAGTACCAGGAAGTAGGGTGCTAATGTGACAATAATTAAAAATGTGGAGGTGGCTTTGGAATTAGGTATTAAGTAGAGGCTGAAAGAGTTTTGAGATTCATTAACAGAATAAGCTTCGACTGCTTTGAAGAGAATGTTGCTAGAAATATGGATTTTGAAGGAGAATCTGTTGAAGGCTCAGAAAGAAAAGAAGAAAGCTGTAGACAAAGCTTCTGTTTCTTAGGGAAAACACATATTGTCATGAACAGAATGTTGCTAGAAATATGAATGTAACTGGTGCTTCTGGCAAGTTCTCAGAAAGAAAGAATGTCTTATTTGAAACTGGATGAAAGGTGATCCTTGTTATAAAATAGCAGAGGATTTGGCTGAATTGTATTTTGTTGGATGGAAAGTGAAACTTGTATGCAATGAACTTGCATATTTAGCTGAACTTACAAAGTGTTGAAGGCACAGTTTGGTTTTTCCTTGCTGCTTATAGTAAAATACTATAAGGGTAGAAACATTTAAAAAGAGAATTGTTAAGAAAAAAAACCCCACATTTCAATACTTGGGAAATTCTCAGCCTACTCAATTTCAAAAAATGAGAAAATTTGCTCTGGATAGAACACCAAGGGTATTGTTGGCTAACCATTTGCCCAATACATTAGGTTTGTGACCTGTGGACCCAATCAACTATCTCAGTTGGCATGCTGTTAGCTTAGACTGAAGGGGTATAGGCGAGAGGAAATGAAGAAAGGCTGTTGGGTTTTTGGAATTCTTAAGTCAGGAAATGACCTGATAGAGATATCCAGCTGTGATCATGTGTTATTCTTTTTTTAAAAAAGGGAAGAATAACCCTGAGAATAAGGCCTTTTCTTTATGAAGGCAGAGCCATCACCTCAGTTCCAGAGTACAGAGCCAGCTACTACTCAGGCTGTCATCTGGTGAGCCCAGAGGACACAGTATCATGCCAGAAAGGATAATTCTGGAGCCTTAAAATCAAGTGAAACTGATCCTGCTAGGTTTCAGACTTACTTGTGACCCATGATACTTTTCTTCCTTCCAATTTCTTCCTTTTGGAATGCTTATCCCACCAATTGTATTTTGGACATATAATGTGTAGTTTCACATAGGAAATAATTTTGCCCAAGGATGAATCATCCTGCATCTCATCCACAGATGATTTAGATGAGATTTAGATGAGATTTTGAACTTAGAGTTGATGTTGGTATGGGGTAAGACATTTGGGGATGTTGTGATGGGCTGAATGTATTTTGCATTGTGAGGACATAAATTTTTAGGGGCCAGAGGACAGACTACTAATATGTAACTGATTACATGTTCAAGGACACGAGAATGTGACATTTGGAAATAGGGTCATTGAAGATGGAGTAGGTTAAGATAATATAATATTGGAGTAGACCAGTACCCCAGAGAGGATCCGTAATTCAATGTGGATGGTGTTCTGATAAAAAGTGGAAATCTGGACACAAATTTACACATAGGGCAAATGCCAGGTAAAGATCAAGGCACAGATTGAGGTGATTCTTCTATAAGCTAAGAAATACCAAATATTGCCAGTAAAATACCAGAAGCTAGGTGAGAGTCATGGAACAGAATCTACCTTATATCTCTCATAAGGAATTCACCTCACCAATACCTTGATCTTGTACTTTGTCAGCCCTAGAAAACTAATACAGCTTCTAGTACAATTATTCATTTTACAGTATAGGAAGAAATCCCTCCCTCAAAAAAACAACTTAATATGCTATGTATATACTTAATACAAATGACTTACAGTTTGGCAAATAGCCCTTGACGAATCCTTTTTTTCTTGGGAGGGCTCAAACTTGTACAGGTAGTTTGAGCACTCACAGAACCATCATCTTGTTTACCATCTAGTTCCTGACTTTGACTTTCTTTTATTGCTGTTTGGGATGTTGAGGGTTGGTTAACTTTCTGAAACCAAAATTTTAAAGAAAACACTTAAAACTATCATTGGAATTATTTATTTTAAAAGTCTATAATTTTAGTTTACCCATTTTTCATAATCTTAAGAGTTGTGACAAAATGTTGAAAACATATTAGTGCTTTTATAAAGATGATTTATCCTAATCCATCTTCTATTAAAATATTTTAAAAGGAAAATAAACAGAAGCCCCTCTTATATTAGTATAGCTGAAAAGATAGATTAGATGTGTGTTTTGGTAAGAATAGTAATCCTAGCCAGTTTGGCTCAGTGGATAGAGCGTAGGCCTGCAGTCTGAAGGGTCCTGGGTTCAATTCTGGTCAAGGGCACATGCCCAGGTAGCGGTCTCGATCCCCAGTAGGGTGTGTGCAGGAGGCAGCTGATCAATAATTCTCTCTCATCACTGATGTTTCTATCTCTCTCTTCCTTTCCCTTTGTCTCTGAAATCAGTAAAAATATTTAAATTTTAAAAAGGAGCCAAAGACAAATATGTCAACAAATTACTGCAGTTGTGTTCCAATAACATTTTTTTAAAAAAAGAATAGCAATCCTAGGAATAATTTTTCAAAAGATAAACTCAGGGGAAAATTAATTTTTTTGGTCTTGATTATGCCTAGATTTCAGAACTGGTGTCTTATACAACCTGGCTAAGACTGACATTCCAGATACAGAGGTAAAAACTTCCTGTGGAAGTGTTCCTAAAGTTCTGGTCTTGACAAAAAGTAAGAAAATAATATATAGACATATCTCATTTAATTGTGCTTTGCAGTTATTGTGTTTCTTACACATTAAATGGTTGAGGAAACCTTGTGTGGAATAAATCTACTAACATTCGGTTGGCTCAGATGATGGTTAATATTTTCAGCAATAAAATATTTTATGAATTAAGGTATGTAAGTTGTTTTTTAGATATAATGCTATTACACACTTAATAGACTATAGTAGAATGTAAAAATAACTTTTATATGCACCGAGAAAACAAAAAATTCATGTGACTTGTTTAATTGCAATATTTGCTTTATTGCAGTGATCTGGAACTGAAACTATATTATCTCCAAGGATGCCTGTAATCATATATACCAGTTGAGGATTTAAACAACAATCAAGATAGGCTTAAATTGTTTGAAAGCAAAATCAAGATACCAGATTTGAGGGCCTTGGAAAATATCAGAGGCTATGACCTTCTGCCCAGCCTGCTCCAAAATAAATGACAGAAACAGGAAACAAAAAACAACAATGATTTTCCCCCCTCTTGGTTTTAGACCATTAAGAATTTTTTTTTAAAAAGAACCAATACATGTGAGTTCTGAATAAAATGAACAAAGTACCACTGTAATTATGATCACAGTGTTTTCAGCAATATACAATTAATTCTCTGATGTCATACCTGAAGTGTTTCTGATACTGAGGAACTTCCAGTTGCACTGCTATGGGATATATACTTTATAATAGTAATTATCCCCTGAATTGCAATGCGTTTTTGTTCCCTATATTGCAAGTTTTCAATCTCCTTCCTCACTTCACTCATAGATGTCAGGAGCGACTGAACTGCAAAAGAGTAATTCCAAGGAAATTGTAAGTTTTAAAGAGCTACAATGCTAAAAATAAAAATCAGATTTGCAATATAAATACAACATAAAATTATAAATTTGCCACATAATTTAAATTTGTGAGGCTTTATTGTATTTATATTTTTGTGTTTATATCTGGCATCCCCTTATGCAATTTTTGTAAAATAGGCAAAATATATTAATCAGTCAAATCATGATACAGTCTTCTAATCTAGCGTTTTAATTTGAAACAAAAAAATTGTATATTGAATGTAATTTATAGATTATATTTCAGACTATAAAGTGTTGCCTAGCCACTGTATAGACACAGACATTTTAATATTTCTAAATATATACTACAAATTGATGGCATTCTAAAGTGCAAAAGGATCCCAATACAGAGCGGGTCAAGAGCGGGTTTACAGTTGTTCATATGGAAAATAATGTAATAATTAATAAATAATAATATAAGAATAAAGTGTTTTGCACACCCCTGTATATTGGCTATCACACAATCGACTGCTGCCTTTAAATAAAAATGACACCAAAATAAATGAGATGCAAAGTAAGTACTGATAGAGAGGCCTAATTTTAATTAATTTTATTGCAATTAAGATATGACAGTTGAGCCGAAACCGGTTTGGCTCAGTGAATAGAGCGTCGGCCTGAGGACTGAAAGGTCCCAGGTTCGATTCCGGTCAAGGGCATGTACCTGGGTTGTGGGCACATCCCCAGTAGGGGGTGTGCAAGAGGCAGCTGATAGATGACTCTCTCTCATCGATGATTCTGACTCTCTATCCCTCTCTTTTCCTCTCTGTAAAAAATCAATAAAGTATATTTTTTAAAAAAAAGATATGACAGTTGAAAAGTTTAACGCTTAAGTATATTGTTTTTTAAAATTATGAGATAATTCATGATTTTGGGGAAAAAAGAGAAACTTTGAAATAGTGACCTGTCATCATCAAATACTATACTATTTCATAAGAGCAGCATAATGCAGTTTTCAATATCTTGATATAAAATTTCCCAGTGTTCCCTTTGATATCTTAGTTTCTCTATGTAATATAGGAGTTGAAATCTACTAAGGTCAGATTTATATCAATGACATTACCGTGTTTTCCGGTGTACAAGACGACGTTTGAAACGAAAAAAAGTCAACCGAAAATTGGGGGCAAAAGACCAAAATTGCACAAAAATTACCTGCAGATCTTGACGGCAAAGTAAGTCTTTTCTTTGAAGTGGGGGGTAGTCTTATACAGCGAATATAGGCCTAAACCTATGTTTTAACTGTAAAAAAAATTAGAGGGTCGTCTTATACGCCGGAAAATACAGTAAATTGAGATATTATCTCTATTTAGTCATCATCTATGTTCCTTCTCTCCTTCCAGTCAAATAAAATGAAAATATTAACCTTAGGACACATGACATTTTTAGATCTTCAGAAAGACTATTATCAGGGAGTGTTGCTACATTTTGGCTCACCCCCATATAATAAAAGAATAAAGACTAACTGACATATCATACACCATACATGTAGCATATAAAATATCATTGAAAAAGCTGCAATTCTATTAGTACCTTTTACAGAAGTACTATACTTGGAAAATGTCTCTGGCACTGGTGGATAGGGGTAATATCCACCAATAACAGTATTCTTCATTTCCCCAGAGTCAGTCTTTGTTTTAATCCAGTGAATAAAATTTTTTATTCTGGTATTGTTGCCATATGGCTGGCCTCTATGACCTATTTGTAAGAAGGGTAAAGAGAAAAATAAGGAGGGTATAAATTGCATGGACTTTTTTTTTTTGGTATAAATACAGTTTAAAATTAAAAGTTTCTTATGTCACCAAGAAAACAAGTCATGTTCACTGATTCTCTATGTAGAGGGTAATTGTACTCAATATGCATACCAGAGTTTTAATGGACTAAACTGTAGCTGTCTACAGGATTCTAAAAAGCCATATGAAAAAGAAACTAATAACTGGGATTTTTCTAACTATCCAAGTGGTTGGCATTTTTTAAAAATGGATTTTTAAATCACATGTTGTCTTTAATATATGGCATCATGCATGAACTAAATTCCCTATAAGTATAGCTTAGCATTTTTTAAAATTAAATTTTATTGGGGTGATATTGATTTTAGAGAGAGGAAAGAAGAGGTAGAAATAGAAACATCAATGATGAGAATCATTTATTAGCTGCCTCCTGCATGTCCCCTACTAGGGATTGAACCCACAATACAGGCATGTGCCCAGAGTAAGAATCTAACGGTGACCTCCTGGTTCATGAGTTGATGTTCAACCATTGAGCCATACTGGCCAGGCAGTATAGAATAATGTTTAAATTCATTTTGTTAAAGCACCCTTAAAAGTGTTTATATCTGATGTTATTAGTATTTATAAAATGAGGTATTGACAAAGATTTGTGTTATACACTTCCTAGGACTCTCTTTTGACAAATTTCCTAATCAACAATATGGTAGCATTCTAGTAAGCACACCATTCCACAGTACTCCCTCACTAATCTGGAACTTTTATCTTTATTGTTTTGACTATTATCAAAGGGAACAGAGAAAAATAATGTACTTATAGACAAGTAGTGAGGCTCTTCTTGCTATATAAGTAAACTGTGAGATCGTGAGGCCAAAATTTGATCTATATTTTTGTTTTACTCAGTATTTTAAAATATTGATAACTGAATCCATATTGTGATGTAGGGCCTAGCAGTCTCCAATCTATCAAATAATTTATGATTATCTACCTTATACAAATAGGAATGAAAGTTAGCCAAAGGATATAAACACAATTCTCCAGTGAGTCATAAAATCATTGCTTCAATCACAAATAATCTAGAAGGAATATATTCCATAGGCTAAGTATTCTTTTAAAATAACCTTAGAGATAAAGAAGATGAAAATAGAACTATCTTGTGGTTGAATGTTGTCATATAAAAGTTAATTTAATGAAGAGAAAATATATTACATTTCCAATAGAGCATATACAAAGACATTGCTCACCGATAATAAACATTCGACTCTCATTTGTGGTGGTGAGGTAAAGCAGTTTAGGTACTTGATTGCTATTTCTGACAACTTTCAACTGTGTACACATGAAATATGTCACTGTAGAAAATGAAAACACTTATGAAAGCACTTCTGCATTTCAAAGAGGACATAACAAGATCAGGATTTAACACAGTGCTTCTCAAACTTTAATAGATATAGAAATCACCTAGGACAATTATTAAAATTCAAATCAAGATTTAGTAGTTTTAGTGTAGGGTCTAAGATTCTCCATTTCTAATAAGTTCCTAGGCGGTATTAGTGCTGCCAATCCCTTGACCACACTTGGAGCAACAAGGATCTAACACTTACCTTTTCCTTTAGATAAAGGACTTAACACTTACTTTTCCTTTAGAATGTACAACAGCTGCACCTAACTGAAGTCACTACTTGCTGCATAGTTGAAGAGTGCAAGAGTCTTTCTAATGGGACACACAAAACAATGTGAACAATTATTTCCTAACGAGAAAAAAGGCTTAGTTTCTCCATGATGTTTTCACTGATTAACTCAATTTAACATTGATCCCTAAAGTACTCTGACTCCTTCCACTAGAGAGGGCTATGGAGTATTTTAATTTGCTTAGGAAAAGTATTTTACATGTGCTGACCTTCAGACTTTAAGCCTCAATGACAAGGCTTGATACCTATTATTTTTGTTCACCTTGCCAACAAACTTAATAGGCTAAAAAGAATAACTGAAAATAAGATTATGTCTACAGACTTGAATTACTTTCAAGAGCTATCATTTGTTTTTAAATATCTATCAGTTTATTTGGGAAAATTTCATTACTCCAACAGTTTTTAAAAATTTTAACTCCTTACATGGTAAAATTGATATAGTCTTGCAAACCAGGAAATAAAGAAATAAACATATTTTTAATCTCACAATAACTGTAAGTTCTCCTTGAGAATAAATATTTTCCTAGAGCATGATATATAAATTTATTTTCTATTATACATCTTATATTTACTAGATCTTTATTTTATAGCAATAAAAATAAAATCTGTTCAAGTGACTAAGAATAGTTCTCTTTATATTGTGTTTCTTTACTTCAAAAAACTGTACAAATATGTGAGTATTCATGGTTAAAGATGTTGATTAGTAGCATTAACAAAATATCTTATTCTAATTTCATGGCTGTTAAAAATCAGACATGGCCTGTTTTTCTCAGTGGTTAGAGCATCGGCCTGTGGATCCAAGGGTTGTGGGTTTGATTCCTGGCCAAGAGCATATACCTTGGCTGCAGGTTCACCCTGGCTGTCTCTCTCATATTGATGTGTGTTTTTTTCTCTCTCTCTCTCCTCATTCTTTCCTTCCCTTCCCCTCTTTTTGAAAAATCAATGGAAAAAATGTCCTTGGGTAAAGATTAAAAAATAATCAGACATTCATATCTAATACTTAATAGCTGTTTGACATCCAGGAGATTACTTAACCCTCTGGACCTTTGTTTCCTTACCTATAAATTTGTAAAATATGTCAACTCTTTAAAAGGTAACGGGGAGTACAAAATGAGATAACATCTATGAGCATTTGATACATAGTAAACATTCAATATTCCTTTCCCGTAGTTCTTCACTTTCCTAAAAATTAAAAAAGATGCCCTATTACCAAAGAATTTGGTATTACTACAGAAGACCCTTAGTCATGTTCCCCTTCATAGGCCTAAAACCCCTTTAATACTCACCATTCATTAAATTATTTTTTCCCCTTCACTCTTGGTCAAAAGATGAAGATAAACTGATTATTGTCAACTACTATATTAGAGAAAATCTCACCAAAGTCCATAGAAATCTTTCTTTAAAAAAAACATATATTTTACCTTCTTACAAGAAATAGAACATGTATGCTTGGCAACATTTCTGTGAAAAAGCCTTATGCAAAACTTGGATCAGTTTGTTGTTTAAAGTGTCTACAAAGAGAGAAACATGGCAATAAAACTCATCTAAAATGAGGTAATAAAATTGTCATCAGAGGTCATCACTACCAATCATTTATGCCTTTGGAGAAGTTACATAGCCCTGCTAACCTTGGAAGACCAGGCCTTGGTTTTCGCTAAAACTGTCTTTTTGCCCTCTCCCCCAGTAGTTGGGGTGAGGTTTGGTTATATTAAGTTATGTTTAAAAAATAATCTCACAAACACAGGGTGGAATCTAATGAGATAATATCTACATAGTGTATAATACTGTTTTGCAATAGAGAACAAAGGAATAGCAGAACAGCCCTATACAAGGTCTCCAAGACTCCTGATCTACAATTTCTACCATGTTGCTGATTTTGTTTTATTTTTATTATTTTAAACATATGTTTAAATGATTTAAGAGAGAAAGGGAGAGGGAGAGAGAAATAGAAACATTAATAATGAGAGAGAATCATCTATCAGTTGCTTTCTGCATGTGCCACACTGAGGATCATGCCTTCAACACGGGCATGTGCCCTGAGCAGGAATCAAACCATGACCTCCAGGTTCACAGGTCAATGTTCAACCACTGAGCCTCACCAGCTAGGCATGTTGCTGATTTAAAAAAAAAAAAAATTGCATGTAGCCAAGATTGAGAGTTTTCCTAATGTTAACAAACATTTAACACTCAGTATTTAATTTATATAATCATTTAGAAAATAGTAAAATAGCACATCATATCTAAAATAACTTGATACTACAAAATCAAAAAAAGGAAAAATTCACTGAAGTTATTAAAAAGTATTATGTATACTTTTTTTTTTACTTTTTTCTTATATTAGATATAAAAACTAACTTGTTATATAAAATGTATAATAGGGTACTTCTAAAATGTTTTCAAATAAATAAAATTAGTGGGGGAAAAAACACCTATATATCTAAACGAATGCAAGGAGAAAAGGTCAATGACAAAGTAAATAAAATATTAACCAGCTATTATAATGCCACCAACCTAATACTAACTTAATACTCAAATAGAATCATATTTATCATTGTCAGTATTTAATTACACAGTCTGCCAATCTCTTACCAATTAATTCAACATTAGGAAAGTCTTCATTGTCTAAGTGTATTGACAAAGGAAATTTTGTTTTAGTTTCACCGAATGTTGTGCTTTTATGTCTGAAATGCTAACAATGAGAATAGGAGCACCTATTTTCTGGAAAACTAGTTCAATCCCAAATTAATTTTGAATAAAAAACATGACATGTAATACCAAATAAAATATTAATATAGAAAAAAATTAAAAATGATATCTGATAGCTTGAATTTGCTAATTCAGTATCATGACCCTGTATAATTAAGTTTAACATTTTAAAAAATATATATTTTATTGATTTTTTTACAGAGAGGAAGGGAGAGAGAGAGCTAGAAACGTCGATGAGAGAGAAACATCGACCAGTTGCCTCTTGCACACCCCCTACTGGGGATGTGCCCACAACCAAGGTACATGCCCTTGACCGGAATCGAACCCGGAACCTTTCAGTCCGCAGACCGACGCTCTACCACTGAGCCAAACTGTTTTTGGCAAGTTTAACATTTTTTTTTAAAGTTAATGCCCCCACTTGCAAAAATAAAAAGAAAAAAATATTGGAACTGATTACTTGGGCAAATATTTTCAAAGATTTCTGGCTGAGATGTAGAAAACAGTTCCACTATGAATGGTTGTTCTGAAGTCCCGTCAGCAATGTGAATCCAGCGATATGTCCAAAAATCTTCACTGTTTTCTATATGGATATAATATTAGAATAAATGAAGGTAACTGGTTATGCACATATAAACATAGAACTATTCACTGAAATGCTTTTTATTATTTTCAATTTCAAAAGCTTACCTCTCTTTTTTAACCGCTGGACCCTTCCTACAAAAACTAAAATGCCAACAACATCACAGATTTGCTTTTCTGGCATATCATCCAGTTCTGATCTAAAAAAACAAATAATCAAATATTGTATCTTTAAACAGTTAAAAAGTATTTTATAACTATGGTTGTGAAAATGTACATTTACATAATTACTATAGCAAAATTTTGGGTAGATTTTAAGCAAATTATAATATACTATAGGCCTGGTGCACAAAATTCATGCAGGGGAGGGATTCCCTCAGCCCAGCCTGCACCCTCTCCAATCTGGGATTCCTCAGGGAATGTCCAATTGCTGGTTTAGGTCAGATCCCAGGGTTCTGCTGGGACTGCTGGCTCCGAACTGCTCACCTGCCTGCCTGCCTGATCACACCTAACTGCCCTTGCCTTCCTGCCTGATTGCCCCTAATTCCTTTGTCTGCCAGCCTGATTGCCCCTAAACTCTCTGCCTGCCTATCAGCTTGATCGCCCCTAACTGCCTCTGCCTGAATGATGGCCCCTAACTGCCCTCCCCTGCTGGTCTGATCTTGCCCCAAATTCCCTTCCCTGCAGGCCTGATCTCACCCCCAACTGCCCTCCCCTACTGGCATGGTTGCCCCCAACTGCCCTCCCCTTCAGGCCTGATCTCACCCCCAACTGCCCTTCCCTGCTGGCCTGATCCTGCCCCTAACTGCTCTCCCCTGCTGGCCTGATTACCCTAACTGCCTTTCCCTGCTGGCATGATCTCTCCCCCAACTGCCCTCCCCTGCAGGCCTGATCTTGCCCCCAACTGCCCTCCTTTGTTGGCCTGATCTCACCCCTAACTGCCTTCCCCTGCCGGCCTGATCTCGCCCCCAACTCCCCCGCCCCCCCGCCAGCCTGGCTGCCCCTAACTTTCCTCGCCTGCAGGCCTGATCTCTCCCCCAACTGCTCTCCCCTACTGACCTGATCACCCCTAATGGCCTCTGCCTTGGCCCCCACCACCATGGCTTTGTCCAGAAGGAAGCCAAATGTCTGGAAGATGGCTGGTCCACCCACCTAATTAGCATATTACCATTTTATTAGTATAGATAGATTATATAGGACAGGATTACTTAAATGAGGGGAGGGGAAACTTTTTTCTTGGCAGAAAAAATTATATAATCCCTATATCTGGACTGATAGCTGGCCATATGCACTATATTTCCAAACCAATCATTAGAATATTGAACTACTTTCTTACACCTTACACCAAACAGCTGTTGCCTTTAAAACCCCTACTCAGCCCTCACATTAGGTTCTGCCATTGCAGTTCACCAGATCAGGTTCTGATGGTTAGTTTCTATGCCAGTCATCACCTAAAGCTCTGCCTCCTAGGCAGCCAATACTTGGTTCTGATTAATTGGTTTCTATGCCAGTCAGCATTTCCAGGTCTATCTCCAGGCCTGATCAGAGATGTGAGGATGATCAGTAGCTCCTGTGCTGCTATGAGGCCGGAGAAAAAGAGAGGCAAGGGCTGATCAACAGCTGCCACAGAGGCTGCGGATCAGACCCTGCTTCTCTCTCTGGGCCTCTCTCCAGGCCTGATCTGCAGCCCTGACTGCAGGACTGACTTTCAGTGTTTGGTCATCTCTTCGATCATTTTGGATGTTATGAACCCTGGCTCTTTATATAATATATAGAGATTATTTCAGTGACTAACACTAAAAATTATTTAAGACTAGGGGCCCAGTACATGAATTTGTGCACCTTGAAAAAAATTGTAGGCCGTGAAACTACAGTAGGCACAGGAGCAGGTCTCGGTCCATCCTCTGCTACCCCCCACCCCCGCCTGGCCCCTCCCACTGTGGGCTCCAGTCTGACCACCACCACTCCTATGCACTGATGGTGCCAGCTCTGCTCGCTCCCTGCTAATGGTAGTGTGTGTGTGTGTGTGTGTGTGTGTGTGTGTGTGTGTGATTGGGACCAGTGCCAGCAGTGGGTGCAAGAGGGGCCGGCATCATCAGTGGGTATGAGCAGCAGCTGGTACTCCTATCACCCCTCAGGAGCAGGGGAGCAGGGGGAGGTGCAGAGGCCCTCAGGGGTGATCAGGGCTGGTAGCCACCACTGGCACCTGCTGATGGCATTGAGTGATTGGGACCAGTGCCAGACACCAGAATCAGGTGCAATAAGTAGCTCCAGCGTTGGCTGCAGGTGCAAGTGGGGCCATCACTGGCAGTGGGTGCAAGCAGGGCCAGCACTGGCAGCAGATGCACAGGAGCAAAGAATTTTCAGTAACCACCAGAGGCTCACCCCGATGACAGCAGCAACTGGTGCCCCACCTTGATCTGGTGCCCCTGCTCACCAGCTCCACCATCCTGCCGAGGCCAATGCCAACCATGTTCCGCACATGCCCCCTGGCGGTCAGAGCACGTCATAGAGAGCAGTTGTTCGGTTGTTCCACCGTTTGGTCTATTTGCATATTACCCTTTATTATATAGGATATTTTATAAGAGATTATTTTACCTAGTGATAAAGCGATGATTTAACTTTGGCAATCTCCATTCTGATTTCACCTGCCTTTCTGGAATGATAGTTATATTACTTGGAGGATCTTGAAGGTTCAGGCAGACCTCTAAAAAACAAATATATTACTTCAATATTATATTTAATGCACATAAAAGAATATACATGTGTACAAATTGCATAGGAAAAAAATAAACTGAACACTTTTGAGCTCAATGGTAAACTTCAGAACAAGGCCATTATCAAAAAAGCTTTCTTTACTTACTGTTACATTGTCACATCCACTTATCTCCCCACCAAAGGTTAAACATACCTTAAATTTTGTTTTATCATCACCTTACTTAAAAAAAAAAAATTATTGAGTCTTTTTTTTTTTTCCCGGAAAGGGGAGGAATAGAGAGCCAGAAACATCGATGAGAGAGAGACATCGATCAGCTGCCTCTTGCACACTCCCCACTGAGTATGTGCCCGCAATCAAGGTACATGCCCTTGACCAGAATCGAAACCAGGAACCTTGAGTCCACAGGCCAAACCTCTATCCACTGAGCCAAACCACTTAGAAAAGTTCATCACTTTATTAAAAAAAAAAAAGGGGGGATATTTAATCACTTACGAGTTTTTGTCCAAACAAAATAGTGTTTGGATTGCTTTGTTTTTGAACTCTAATGTACATATTATATACAGTACTCTAAGGCTAGTTTTTTCCTTTAACATTATGGTTCTAAAATTCATTCATGCAGTTGCACATAACAGTTTTTTTTTCCTCATAGTCATTACTGAATAATGTTCCAGGATGTTGGCATACTTCAATTTTATTTAACCATTATCATGTTGACAGAATCTGGATTATTTTCAGTTTTTGCTACTATAAAGAGGGGCCACTATTAGTTTTTTGTACATATCTCCCTGTGTACACAGGCAATAGTTTTCTAACATATTATACCTAGGAGGGAAATCTTGAATTGTAAAATATGCAAATATTTCACTTGGCAGGATAATTCCAAACTATTTTAAAGTAAAGAACTTTTTATAGTTTCATCAACAGTGTGTAAGATTTCACATTGATCCACATCCTCTCCAAATTTTGGTATCATTAAATTTCTTATTATTTGTCAGTCTAGTGACACAAAATGGTAATTTGTTGGGATCTTATTTTACAGTTCCCTTATTACTAATTATTTTGAAAAACATTTCATATATTTATGGTTCATTCAGGAATGTCCTTATATTGTTAATTATATGAGGTTTTCTAAAATAAAAAATATTTAAGGAAACAATGAATAAAGGCTACATTGGCTGAACATTCTCTAAGTAATTAAGCTTAACAGATTAGCTAGGAAATTTAGAATATATAGAAATACAGGTCCTATATAAAACAATACTTAATGAGCAATGTAACCCACAATTTTGAAAAATTGAAATGCAAGAAAATATCATATTCAACTCTTAAAGCAATCAGTTACTATATTCATTCTAATGCTCCCAAAATATTTAGGGTGATGCCAAGATGTCATAACTTTGATTTTAATACTAATTAGGAAGAGCCCTTTAAAAATTGTAGCAATTGGCAACATTTGAATATTGGCTATAGGTTAGATAACAGTATTGTATTAATTTTAAATTTTCTGATTTTGATAACTGTATTGTGATTATGTACTAGAGTGTTCTTGTTCTTAGGAAATATATTCTGAAATATTAATGATGTTTTTAAAGGTAAAGAGACGTATAATGGCTGCTACTTACTCTAAAATGGTTCAGGTTTTATATATATATAGTGGATTTAACCTTTGGTGGGGAGATAAGTGGATGTGACAATGTATATATATATATTTATATATATATATATATATATATATAGAGAGAGAGAGAGAGAGAGAGAGAGAGAGAGAGAATGATAAAGGCAAGGTAAATATTAACAGTGGTTCAATCTGTGTAAAGGGTATATAGGATTTTTTATCGTATCGTATTCTAATTTTTATGTAACTTTGAAATTACTTCAAAATAAGCTTTCTGAAATTATTTCAAAAAAAGCCCTTTTGAATAGCAGCTCGTAGTAACAGAAAATTACATTCAAGTCATTAACTTAATATTATAATGAAAAATAAAAGATAATAAGAATAAGTAATCCCAAGTGGAGCTTGTTAATAAACAATGAATGCTCAGATAATTTTTCTTAATAAATTCAATAATAAATAAATATACTCATTAAGTGATTGTTTGGAAATTTTGTAGATTCAGGAATTTAAAGGTTTGTCAGATTCTAACAGATTTAGTAATTTTTCAGAGTCTTTGGCTGGTATGATACTTAACAGATTTATAAAAAAAATATAGTCATAAAAGAAACAAAATGCAATTAATACTTAACCCATAGTAGAAATTAGTTTGATCTGTGAATCCACAGGGAGAGGCTGCAGCCTGAATGGAAAACTCTTTTTAACAGAATAATCTTGAAGCAGAAGAACTAAACCAACCCGCAAACATTTATACCACTCAGGACACAGGGCATTCCACATGATCACTGATACAGTGCCTGAACTGTCAGCAACTTCCAAAAAGCTCTGAAAAGATGAGTAAAAGTACACACATATTTGTTACTTTTATCTACAGGATATTAAAATTTTAAGACTGAAGAAGTAAAACTGTAGGGGAATGACTAATTTATGATATATGAAAGAATCTTTAAGAATAAAAAGCCATAATAAAGAAATTTTAGTGATATTAGGAAATACTTAAGAAAATGTTGACTAATACAAAATTTTGTGCTATATAATTGCCCGTTTGTAAGCTAATTTAATATATGACATAGTCATATGAAATATAAGACATGCATGCATACATATACAAATAGATATGAAATATACACATGATATCACAGATATGTGCACATATAGAATATATTTGTGTGTGGATATATGATATATATACACAAAAAGGAATAAAACTATAATGTAAACAGTGATTATGGTATGATTTGGGGTGATATTATTTATCAGTCTAACTTATATAGATTTCTACATTTTCCAAATTCTCTAAAAGAATATACAAGTTTTATTTTAAAAGACTAATGAAACACCCAAAATAATTCTTGATAACAGAGAAAATAAAGTAAAATGTTAAGTTATAAAGGACAGAAACCAAGAAAATATTCTCATCAGCATTATATGGCATAGACAGCCAAGATAGCAAAAAAAGTCAGATGGATTTGACAATTAGGTCTCTATCTAGTAAATGACCAGTTGAAGAAAAATGCCAAACTAGTGATGTTGAGAAGTAAATGAGAGGCAAGTAAGTGGAAACATCTAATATAGACTACTTCTTCAAGGAGCTTGTCTGAAGAGGAGAGAGGGAATAGAGGAATCTGAGGTCAAAGAATAATTGTACTTATATAAATATACTTTAATCTTCCTTTTTTAAAATGGAAGATTAAAGTATATTTATATTCTAGTATAGAAAGCACAGTAGAGAGGAAAAGGTTGAAGATATAGTATCAAAAGATGTGAAGGAGACTGGCTGGATCAAGGAATTAAAGCTTGCCAATACAAAAAATAATTCATTTTTATAAGAAATTACATTAGAAAAATACCTTGGAATATATATCCATGTACATTTTCAAAATTATTAAATTTAAGTTATAAATTTTATTTAAACATAAATTATTCTAATATGGAGTCAGGTCTGTAAGTTATAATCTATAACTGTTAAATTAACATGTACTCTCATCTTATTTATACCTGGTATGGCTCAATCATCTTTTTATTGGGTTTTCCATAGTACCTCAGTCTTGACTTATGCATGATTCTCACAAGCAAAGCAGGATAATTCCTTCTGTTAGTCCAGCTCATTTCAAGGTGAGCAAGAGAAATTATTTTGGTATCTAGAATACAAAAAAGAAAAAAATCCTCCTTAACATCTCATGGTAATTTCAAAATTATATTTTAGTGGTCAAAATATCAGATATAAGTGAACAAAAAGAAAGCAACCATAGCAAAATGGTACCATACAAAGAGAATGTAAGAAAAAAAAAAAGTGTATTTGAAAAGTTCTTAGACTGATATTTTATAATTGTCAAGAGAAATGTTTATTTATTTTTTAAATATATTTTTATTGATTTCAGAGAGGAAGGGAGAGATAGAAATATCAATGATGAGCGAGAATTATTGATCAGCTGCCTCCTGCACACCCCCTATTGGGGATTGAGCCCACAACCTGGCATGCACCCTTGACCTGAATTGAAACCTGAACCCTTCAGTCCATAGGCGTTCTATCCACTAAGCCAGTGGTCAGCAAACTCACTAGTCAACAGAGCCAAATATCAACAGAATAACGATTGAAATTTTTTTTTTTTTAGGGTTTTAAAATGTATTTATTTTCTTCATAAAAAGACACCTCCTCTCCCACACCCTGCCAAGTCTTCATCCATGCGTTTTCATGACCACATCCTGTTCTGCAGCTTCTTTTATGGCCCAAGCGATATCACGTTTCTTGCTGGCGTCCAGGCAATTGAAAATAAACAGACTGACATCTGGGGAAATTAACAGGCCAACAGTGGCAAACACAATACATCCAATGGGAAAATAAAACGTTTGTTACAGGACTGCAACACAGAGAACTTCTCAGGAGTGCGCCTCGCCGGCCGCGACAGCAGCAGCAGCAATGTTAGCATTTCTTTCTGCCTCGAGTTCCGAAACCAGCTGGACTATCTCTGGGTGACGGAACTTTCCTGCTGTGGAGTCATAGAAGTCCTGCAGCCTCCCGGGCTTGTTCTCCAGGTCTTCATACTCAGAAGCCTGAAGAATCATCTCACATTGGTCCAGCTACTTCACAAATTTGGCCTCTGCGCTAGATTGGGTCTCATACTCTTCCCAGAGTTCATAGAGCTCCTTTCCGAGATCGTTGGGGAGAAGCTGGGTTAGCTGCTTCATAGCTTCCTCTTCTCGCCTATGTTTTTCTTCTTTGGGGATGTTATCTGCTGGTGCTATGTCCCCAACGATGCATTCTGCTATATCGTGAACCAGGGCTAGGCGTACACATGTCTTTGTTCAGATGGTCATCCTTGGTCACCAGAGCCATAACTGCCATCCTGTACATGTGATCCGATACGCTCTTTGGCCTCTCGACATTCCTGTACACCCAGCCAATCCGTGGGACTCTCTTGAGCTGCCCCATGAGCCGCAGGAACTGCAGCAGGTTCTGGGTGCCGCGGCCCGACACGGCCACGGAGAAGGCCGAAGCCATGGGCCTGAAATTTCTTTTGAGAGACAAATTTTTTAAACTTAAACTTCTAACGCCACTTCTTCAAAATAGACTCGCCCAGGCCATGGTATTTTGTGGAAGAGCCATACTCAAGAAGCCAAAGAGCTGAATGTGGCTCTCGAGCCGCAGTTTGCCGGCCACGGCACTAAGCCAAACCAGCTAGTGCCAAATATTATTTAAACAAGCAATTTTACTTTAGGAATCCATCCATTCAACAGAAATAATTAAACATAGTGAACACATATGTATATATCTTAATGCTGCTCAGCCTTGGATCTAAAATTGAAAAAGAAAAATACACCAACTTCCTAAAATTACAAATTACCCATTTACATGGGAATCCTATATATTAAAAAGCTAATATGCTAATTAATAGAACAGCTGAATGACCTTCTGGAAGACCTTTTGGATGAAGCTGGAACTGCCAGGACCTACCTAGGCTGCAAGGGGCTGAGAGGGCCGAGCCCCTTGCAAGAATTTCGTGCATCGGGCCCCTAGTGATTATATACTAGTAAATCATCATACATTCATATCACAGAAGAGTGTATGAATAGATGTCATTAAAAATGTTTAAGTGGAAATAGCAAATCATGTGATACCAAATAATTATTTTTTTCAAATTCACACACCAAATGGCTGACAGTTTGGAGTTTTGAGATGAAAGCTGAAGGCATAGAAGGAGGTAAAAGGGGCCTTTCATTCCACCCCAATATTTTATTAAAAATTCTAAACATATAGTAATCCTGAAAGAACACCAATACACCTACTTCTAGATTTTGTCATCAAAATTTCACTGTACATGGGTCTTACGCTTTTAATACAATATACATTTTTAAACGTTTGGATTTTTAGCACATGGACATTGCCTTTTGTAATAAAAATATGGTTTCAATAATGAGCAGATATTACTTTCATAATCGGAAAAGTGAAATACAATTTTTACAAATTATTATTGTCCTAAATTCTTCTAAAGTACCATTTTTTCATTTACAGATTAAATTCTAAAAATAAAAATGATCAACCCCTAGAGTAGTAATGCACTACTGAGATAAAGTCGTTCCATTAGTTCATCTCTGATATTACAATCTTGCCTTTAAAACAAGTTATTTAAATTATCATTGGCTACCCATTTCTATAACATCTTTCCCCCCCTTACAACTGGATATCACTTTAATTGCATATTTTTGATGCAGTTATCTTTTCACTTTCTAGTTTGTTGCTGTTACACATCATAGTAAGATTATCTATGGTCTAGCATTATGAGCCCAATGTAAAACAATAACAAAAAAAATAAAATAAAAAAAACAAAACAAAACCCAACACCTGAAAAGCAGTAATGTAGAAACTATCATCTTTCTCTCTCTAGTACTTTTGCTTTTATTTTTTTCATTTTATTTCTTCCCCATTCTATACATGTACATGACTATAATATAATTATTCCCTTTACTTCATTTTTTTTGAGATAAAACATATATTAGAGCAGTTGCTGATGATCAGCTGGCATTTTCAAGTTAACTTCCTATTTCTGACCCAGAAGAACTGAACTTCTCAGATCAGCATTACCTGTGATCTTAAGAAATATAAGCATGAGAATTTCAAGTCTTCCCACAAAAATCACATCTTCAAAAAGCTATTATTTACATAACTGCTACACTCAAAGACATAAAATGGCATTTCATTAATGTAAATTATTAAGGAATACCATAGAACATCCTTTTTTTGAATGAAGGTTAAAACACACAAAACTACAAATATTTACAACTTTTTATTTCTATTTCTAATTAATAGACTCTCCAACCAGCACAGTACTATTTCCACAACTGGAATGGGAATGACGTTAAGATCAATTCCACTGGTCAACCCTACAATGAACACTTAGGACTACTGATTACGACACCACTATGTTTGACAGATAAATTTAAGATGTAATTTTTATTTATTTATTTTTAAAAAAATATATTTTATTGATTTTGTACAGAGAGGAAGGGAGAGAGATAGAGAGTTAGAAACATCGATGAGAGAGAGTCATCGATCAGCTGCCTCTTGCACACCCCCTAGTGGAGATGTGCCCGCAACCAAGGTACATGCCCTTGACCGGAATCGAACCCGGGACCTTTTAGTCCCCAAGCCAAGCCGACGCTCTATCCATTGAGCCAAACCAGTCCCGGCTTAAGATGTAATTTTTAAAAATTAAGATTATTCAGACACTTGCTTAACACCCACTTATAAAATCGAAGCAAGACAAGGGCTGTGCAAATTTCACTAAGCGAGCGTCTCTCAGTCACTCAGGAAAAATTGTCTATCACTCCCGAAACATTTCTGCTTCCTTTCCCGTTAAAGTAAGCACCGCAAAACTATTTTTACACCACATCCCGTCGTTCCCTCCCATTACTTACGGTTAAAATTGTATTCCTCAGGTTGCTTGTTGGTTAACCAGATATCTCCGTATGGATCTTCGTTATTCCACAGGGCCAGGTAATGACTTTTCCCGCCCCGTAAGGGCCTCTCTGGTTTCTCCTCGTGGGCACTATTTCTGAAGGGAGTTGCTGAAGAAATAATGTCCAAGATCTCCTCCCCACAGTGGATGTTATCAATGCACAGGATCCCCTGGCCTAACCTTTTCTCGTTGTAAAGACACGAGACTCTGAAAATTTTCATTTCTATGCCAACTTTAAGAATATTTTTATATACGAGAAAGTTCAGTCTGGGATCGAGGAAGCACTTCTCCTGGTACACCCCGTCTGAGATCGTCACGTCATAGCAGTAACGGGGCGGTTTGGGAACTATGTCTCTCGGCTCGTCTTCTAACAGGTACCTTTGGACGGCCAGCACAGCGACAGGCACCACCTCCGAGGGAGTGACCCAATGGAGAGGTGAGTCTGTTATTTGCTCAAGAACCTTTTGGATCCAGGACCTAGGCCCTAGGGCACCGGCCCTTTGGATCACTCCTCCCGGGACCCGAGCCCGATTTACCTCAGGATTCCGCCGGTCCGCCCCAGCATATGAGGAGCCGGCCTGAGGCTCGTCCAACTCACCAGACATGGTGAGGAAACTGCTACCCTCTCCACTCTCAAACCCTAAAGTGCCCAGTCCAAAGCTGAGAGACTAAAAAGACGCGCCGCGCGCAAGCGAGGGAGTGAAGAGCGCTGCTTTGCCCCCCTCAGTCACTTTCTGCGCGCGCACACATCAGCCCTTTAGCCCCGCCCCCTGCAGGTAACGTAGCCTGCCACAGGTCGGAAGACCCCCTACATAACCACGTGTGCGTGTGCGAAGCCTAGCGACCTGACCTTTACGTCCAGAGCGCGCCTGCCAGGGGGCGGGGCTAAAGGGCTGATATGTGCGCGCGAAAGTGACTGAGGGGGCAAAGTAGTGCTCTTCACTCCCTCGCTCGCGCGCGGTGCGTCTTTTTAGTCTCTCAGCTTTGGACTGGGCACATTAGGGTTTCGGAGTGGGGAGGGTAGCAGTTTCCTCACCATGTCTGGTGAGTTGGACGAGCCTCAGGCCGGCTCCTCATATGCTGGGGCGACCGGCGGAATCCTGAGGTAAATCAGGAGGGGGGTGGGGGGCGGGGAGAGGACAGGACTACGACGACCTATAAATACGTCAAACATAAACATCGGACATCGGGAACGGGTAGGAACGTCCTGGAAATATATGTTGCGCCCTGAAAGGGACGGTATATATTTTTTGTAGTCTTTATAATTGTTTGTAAAATTTATAATTTTTTAATTCGATGTTTCCATTTTTTTATTGGTATTCTTTTCTATTTTTTTGTAATTTTGTATTTTTCTTTGTGCTTTATATGTAAATAAACGAAAAAAATATATATATATAATTTATTTTAATTAAGTATAAATAAAAAATAATAATAATATGAAATTATCGATACGTCCTCCGGGCGTGACGTACTGACACGTCCTAGTGAAAGAGTACATGCCTATTACAGGTTGCATAATTAAAAAGGGAACTCCCCGGTTAACAGGTTAAAAAAAAGGGGGAAGGAGCACTCAGTGACTCTTTAAGAAAGGATGGAGCCCAGATGCAAGGTAAAAGAGAAGGTGGCTGGAAGCTGGGTGCAAGTAATCATATCTCAGTGTTTTTGGGGTTTTGGCCTTGGACCAGGAACAGAAAGTAAATTAGAGTTGGTTAATATACATAAATGTGATAACATGGGTTTACTGTATTGTGCTTGAAACCAGATAATATATTCACAGCCTTCAGGACAGTTTCTAACACAAAAAGTCCATAATCTTTAGTTATGATTGCTATTTTCTTTTCTTTTTAAATAAATCTTTATTGCTCAGACTATTACAATTGTTTCTCCTTTCTACCCCCATAGCTCCCTTCCACTAGGTTCCTACCCCACCCTTTGCCCTTACCTCCCCCCTCCATTGTCCTCATACATAGGTATAGACCTTATTCCAGTCTCTTCTCACACCTCCCACACCCCTTTCCCCCTGATAATCATTAATCCACTCCCTTTTTTTGCCCCTGATTCTACCATATTGACCAGTTTATTCTGTTCCTCAGATTTTTAATTCACTTGATTTTTAGATTCACTTGTTGATATATATGTATTTCTTGATCATAATTTTTATCTTTATCTTTTTCTTCTTCCTCTTCTTATATTCTTTTTTTTTTTTAATATTTTCAACTTTAAGTTTCCCTTTTAGCACAACAGCTCAAGGCAAAAGTATCAAGGATTACAAAATCAGTGATTAGATGAATAACAGAACAGTCATATGAAATTGCAAAGTGTAAAGACATTATTAACATGTCCTATCTTTCCTGCAGGCCTACAGAGATAAATTCAGATAATTTTGAAGCAAATATTTAAAATTCTTACTTTGTTAGGCATAGAAATGATAAACTGTCCCTCATGTATAATTTAGGCTCTTCATAAAATTTTCCTGTTTTTTTTTTAATCAATCTTTATTGTTCATATTATTACAAAGGTTCCTCATTTCTTCCCCCCTCCACGAGGTTCCCACCCCACCCTCCGCCCCCTCCCCATCCCCCATTGTCCTCATCCATAGGTGCAGTTTATGTTCAGTCTCTTCCTCCCTCCCTTTCCCCAATAGTAAATCCCTTTTCAGATAGTAAATCAGTTACTTAGTATTTTCTCATATCAATAATACCACCACATGCCCAATGATACATTTCACACAAAAGACATTTCCAAATAGGTCAACCAGCCTCATCTAGGCTCCACCCAAGGCACTTACAGATCAACACAGATCAACACCCCAGCCCTATACTAACTCAACACATCCAGATCTAAGCCTTCATCACTTGATTCAGCAGACCCTCAAGTTCCCACAAAAGTTTCCAGCCATGTCTGAGAGGCAGCCGTGGGGCAGGGGCAGGCGAGGAGCGAGCTGTTCCAGGCCTGGCTGTTCCGGGCCTGGCCTCTGTTGCTCTGGTTCGTTCCACAACCAGCTGCTCCAGGTCTGGTTACCGCCGCTCTCGACCTAGTTGCTCTGGACCTGGCTGCTGCTGCTCTGGGCCTGGCCACACCTGACCCGGCTGCTCTGGGCCCAGCTGCTCCGGGCCCAGCCGCTCCGGGCCTGGCCGCTCCCAGCCTGGCAGCCGCTGCTCCGGGCCTGGCCACTCCCAGCCTGGCAACCACTGCTTCGGGCCTGGCCGCACCAGACCCGGCTGCTCCGGGCCTGGCCGCTCCCAGCCTGGCAGCTGCTGCTCCGGGCCTGGCCGCACCAGACCAGGCTGCTCTGGGCCCAGCTGCCCCAGTCCCGGCCGCTCTGAGTCTGGCCGCTCCCAGCCTGGATGCTCCGGGTTTGGCTACTGCTGTTCTGGGCCTGGCTGCTCCCAACACGGCTGCTCTGGGCCCAGCTTCTCCGGGCCCGGCCACTCTGGGTCTGGGTGTTCCTGGACTGGCCACCCTGGGCTTGGCCGCCTCCGCCTCAGGCCTGGCTGCCACTGCCCCAGGTCTGGCTGCTCCAGTGCTGGCTGTTGTTGCTCTGGTTCTGGCTGCTGCTGCTCTGGGGCCTGGCCGTTGCTGCTCTGGGCCCGGTTGCCACTGCTTTGTGCCTGGGCACTCTAGGCCTGGCCGCCGCTGTTCCAACATTCTGTCCTTTTTTTTTTTTTTTTTTTTTTAAAAAAAACAAACGCATTTATGTTGCCATGTTGGCTGGTGAGTTGAGTTCTGACTTAGACTTTGATTTTTCAAGATCTTCTTTGTATTATTTCTTAAGTAATTTTACTACCTTTTGCTCTCACTTGATTTCTTCACATTGAGAACTTTGGTTTCTTCCTCCTTGTCCTGGGAGCTCAGCAGGTTGGCCTGTGGCACCCCTTTGTTCTCCGCTGGCTCCTGTGCTGCTTCAGCCTGTTGCTGGGGTCAGCGCCGCCCAGGAAGCAGCACCCAGCCTTGGCTCCGTTGCCCGAGCTCAGAGGTCAAAGGCTCAGGGGCACCCCCCCCCTCCGGGGGCCCAGTCGCCCGGCTCGTGTCCGGCAGGGGCTCCTGCTCCCTGTCGCATTCCTCCAGTCTGGAGCTTTTTCTTTTTCTCCTTCCCGCTAGGGGAGTCTAGGATCAGAGTCAACAGACTGTCCTCTGCGCACAGTGCGCACGACTCTGGGGGCTCCACTTTTCGCCACTCCTCTGGGATTCCGCCTCACAGCCCCATCTCCCCCTGCCCGAGCCTGGGTCCCCAGGGTCTGGTCCAGGTCTGGGGTTCAGAGCATTCCGGACTGAGGCTCAGCACCGCCAGAGGCTTTGTTTCTTCCCGCTAGGGTAATTCAGCATCAGAGTCAACATTCAGTCCTCTGCGCGCAAAGTGCGCACGACTCCGGGGGCCCTGCTTTTCGCTGCTTGCTTGGGATTCCGCCTCACAGCCCCCTCTCCCCCGCCGGAGCCTGGGTCCCCAGGGTCTGGTTCATAACTGGGGGTCAGCGCTGCCGGTTCGGGGGTTCAGCCCAGGCTGGGGGTTTTATTTCCTTCCTGCTAGGGAATGCCAGGCAGCACCCAGTCCTCTCCTCCTCTCTGGCTGTGATTTCTCCACGCGCGCGTGTGCGTGCGGGCGCGCAGCATGTCTCCGTACCTTAGGCTTTTTTTCAGCTCCTCTGATTTTCCTTCTGGTTTTCTCTTTCCTTCTTGTTGTAGAATTTTCAGTTAGTCGACTACCTGTAGCTCTGGGCGATGTCCACTCTACATTTTAGTTGTATTCCATTGAAATTGTTTTGTGCTGCTGCAGTTAGGTGTCTACCCGAGCAGCCATCTTGGATCCTCCTCCCAAAATTTTCATGTGGGATGTCTGAGCAGAGACAGGGTTGAACCGTATATGAGCGCTTATTCCAATAATGCCACCAGCATGGTCACCAGTAGTGACCTTCCCCTCTTATATTCTTAAAGAATATGCTTAAAGATATTCTTAAAGAATATCTTTCAGCATTTCATCTAATACTACTTTGGTGGTGATGAACTCCTTTAGCTTTTTCTTATCTGTGAAGCTCTTTATCTGCCCTTCAATTCTGAATGATAACTTTGCTGGGTAGAGTAATCTTGGTTGTAATTTTCTTACTATTCATCGCTTTGAATATTTCTTGCCACTCCCATCTGGCCTGCATAGTTTCTGTTGAAAAATCAGCTGATAGTGGTATGGGTGCTCCCGGATAGGTAACTGTTTGTTTTTTTTCCCTTGCTGCTTGTAAGATTCTTTGTCTTTTGCCCTTGGCATTTTAATTATGATGTGTGTTGGTGTGTTCCTCTTTGGATTCCTTTTGTTTGGGGTTCTGTGCACTTCCTGTACTTGTAAGTTTATTTCTTTCACCAGGTCGGGGAAATTTTCGGTTATTATTTCTTCAAATAGGTTTTCAGTATGTTGTTCTCTCTCTTCTTCTGGCACCCTCATAATTCTGATGTTGGTATGCTTGAAGTTTTCCCAGAGGCTTCTTACACTCTCTTCAACTTTCTGGATTCATTCTCTTCTCTTCTTGCTTCTCCAGAGAAGTGTCCTTTGCCTCTTTGTATTCTAAATCTTTGACTTGATTCTTGCGTTCCTCTAATCTGCTGTTGGGTCTCTGTATAATATTTTTTATTTCCGTT